CAGTCAAAATAATTATTTGATACAGGTCTACAATCCCTTATTTTTAATTCTAAAATAAAACATCTGTAAAAAGGAAGTTTTTTGTTTGTTTGTTTTTTTGTTTCCATTAATTTGGTACTAAAAATCATTTGGTGGTAAAACCTGACCTAAATTGACATTAATTTTGTCTTTATCCCTTTTAGCATGAATACTTATTCATTTTTCCTACAGATATATTAATGATTTAATTATGGAAATCATTAAAGTCCTTGGATGGCACAAATGCTTAATATGATCCCCTGCTAAATGAAAGATTGAGAGCCCATCCAGAGGCACCTCAAAAGAAAAGCTTTGCAAGCTACTTCTGAAAAATCATACAGCAAACTCTTATGGAGTACAGTTCCACTCTCACACACATAGTGGTGACATGAGTTGGTATTAACTAGATGGCAATTGGTTAATTATGGGATGATTTTCCAGATGCTGCTAGGGTTCATGTAATAATAGTACCTTTGCCCCGGGTATTTGGATACGTTTTCAGGAGGTATGAGTTCCTGGAGAAGGACATCATGCTTGGTAAAAAGTTGAAAGAAAAAGTTGAAGACTGCCAACAAGATGGATTTACACAGTGGCTGAAACAATGGGCTCAAACATAGCAACATTTGTGAGGATGGCGCATTTCGACACCTAACAAAAACAGCTTCACGTTACCTTTCTGAAAACCAAAAATCATTTAAAATCTAAATTTTAAGACTCAGATCACAGACTATGGACCTAGATCAATGATATCTAAAATTTATAGGAAGGAGTTCTGATGATGCAATTGTTAAAGCACTCTGCTACTAAACTTCAAACCCACCACTGGCTCTGTATGAGAAAGATGTGGCAGTCTGCTTCTGTAAAGGTTATAGCCTTTATGTACCAGTTCTATTCTGTCCTATAGTGTTCCTATGAGTCAGGATTGACTCCATGGCAAAGGGGTTGTTTTTTAAATATTTATGGAGCACTTGCCATCTGCATTGAATCGGTACTAAGCTCTTTTCATCTTGTTTAATTCTTATAAACTATGTTATTGTTGTTGTTAAGTGCCTTTGAGTCAGTTCTGACTCATAGGAACCCTGTATAGGGTTTCCCAGACGTAGCTGGTGAGTTTGAACTGCTGACCTTGTGATTCAAGCTGACCTTGCAGTCCAGCGCATTAGGCCACAGTGCCCCTTTGGAAGGGGCCATGATGGCTCTGATAAGAAATACATTGCAACAACACAGAGCAGCGCATGAAGAAAGCCCATTGTACTGCAGAGCAGCAATGGGTCCCTTATTGATTTGACAGAGCCTCAAGAGGAAATTTCATGCGGGGGACTTGCAGTCTCTGTCTTTTCCTTTTATGAATAGTTCATTTTTTATTTTTCTTGATTTTATTAAGTTTTTAGTAGAACTCTTCAATGATCACATTAAAGGTAAAAAATTACATTTAGACACCCTCACACCATATTCAATCATGCGTAGTCCTAAAGAATGCTTTTCACACTAACAATAAGTTTCACCACTAGGAAAAACCAGCTAAAGTTTTTGCCAGTTCAAGTTTAAGATTACATTCAACATTCTGTGTAGTTTCGGTCAGGGACATTAAGACCTTTAGAAAATTAGCTAAAATGCAATTAAGGGCTAAGGGAATAGTAATAGATCATAAGCAGAAATTTAACTAGATGTTTTGTATAAAGAAGTTGTTATAAGGAAGTTGTTCCGTTTCTTCTTAACTACAAAACTTTAAGTGCTTTTTTATGCTTCTTGTTTTTCTTGTTTAATCAATCATGAGAAACAACTGTGTTGTCAGTTACCATAGCAAATAATGTTTAGGTACATGTTGTGATTAATGAATCTATAGAAAATAATAGGTGAAGGTAGAAATAGGAGTTAAGATTTAGAATTATGTTTTAATGTTAACCTGACATTTTAGGATGTCAGAAAGATTAAGGTATTTTAACAAGATCATTTGCGTAGTGCTTCAAAGAAATTGATTGTGTGTGAGATCATTGTACACTATGAGATTTTAACGGTATATAAGGAGGTGGAAAAATTAAGTAAAATCATCATCATCAGCAGCAGCAGCATCAGAATTTAGCACAAATCATCGACTCCGTGTGATTTCTTTCTTCAGCCGACTCCATACATCCCTTCGTGAGCCCCCCTAATAAGTGTGTCAGGGCTGGCCCCCGGCACCCCTTATAAACTATGAAGTAATTATAATCATCTCCATTTTAGTTGGAAACTGATGCTCAGCTTAAATCACTTGTACAGATTCACACAGCCAGGATTTGGACCCAGGACAGTTAGACTTTGTTGTTGTTGTTAAGTGCGTTCAGTCGGTTTCAACCCATAGCGACCCTGTATAGGGTTTCTGAGGAGCAGCTGGTGAGCTTGAACCACTGACCTTGAGGTTCAAACCGACTTTGCAGTCCAGCACATTAACCCACAGCACCACACCAAGACTCCAATTTTACTTTAGGACACGAACTCTTGAACTCTAGTGACTGAGAGAGGACATTGCAGGTCCTTTGTAGGCATTATGGGTAGGTAGAATAAGTTATTACTATTCAATGTGATTTGAGAAGCAGTCTCCAACCTCTATATGTATTCCCTCCTTATCCCTACCTCTCTATAATGCTGCTAATATGACCTTCTTTCTTGAAATCCACCTAAAAAGTTTTTCTTACAGGGACCATCTGCATCAGAAATTACCTGGGGAGCTTGCCAAAGTATAGAATCTTGAGTTCCATCCCTAGATAAATCAGAATTTATAGAGAATGGAACAAAGGTGATTCTTGTGCACATTCAAGTAAATGCCCCAAATAAGGGCAATTATTAACTCTTATTAACTAACACCTTAAGGAGCTCTGGTAGCACAGCGGTCATGAATCAGGCTACTAACCTCAAGGTCAGCAGTTTGAAACTACCAGCTGTTACATGGGAGAAATATGACACTTTCTGCTCCTGTAAAGATTTACAGCCTCAGAAACCCTATACAGGGTCGCTATGAGTCAGAACTGACTCCACGGAACACCAGCACCTTAGCTAACATCTTAGCTACCATTTGGTACCTAGCTGCAGTGGCAAGAATGAACTCATGAATAAGCACCTGGAGAATGGAAGATGTTTGGTATTTAGAGCAAGAGACTGAAGAGGGAGCTATGTTAAAAGAGCAAGTAAGGAGGGTGTGACAGTATCTCCCTAATTTGGGAATGTGAGGTGAGGATACAGCCTCACCATTGATATTCAGCTGCTCAGGAAAATATTTGGAAGCAACTTTTGTTTTTGCTTTGCAGATCACTCATTTTTTATCTCAATGTTACAACAACCCTCTGAGATACATAAGTCAGCCAAACCTTTACATAAATAAAGAAATGGAGACTTAAATGTGTTATTCAAGGTCATCCAACTGATTAATGCTGGTGTTTGAATAAAACTTTCTGGTCCCCAGTTTTTCTACACTTTTCTATTCTTCCAATAATTTCTTCCATATGTCTAGAGAGATTGAGCCATTAGACAAAACATCTAGAATTAAATATTACATTTCAAAAGATTCAGTGATACATATTTTGTTTTGCCATCAGTGGCAAATTAAAAAAATTTAAATAGCAAGCTACAAAAGGAAAGGTTAATGAGAGGAATTGCACTCCAGAATAGTTCAACTGATATAATGCTATATATCTGTTTTTTTTGTTTTTTTTTTTTTTTACTTTTTTACTGGTTGCTTTATTCTTGTTATCAGTGTAGGGAGGTCTCCTGAACATTTTGATCTTTATAATTTAAAAGATTATCCTTCTTGTTTGCTAGGTTCTCAACCTCACCTTTTTATCCTGTCTATGATGTCTTAATCATATCCATGGTAACCAAATGTGACCTCAGACAGGGCTTAGAAAGTCAGAAAAAATGGATTAACTACTACCACAACAATCAGATCATCACAGAAATGCAAGCTAGGCTTGGGGCACTGAGGGTCAAGCCAATCAAAGAATATTTCAATTGAGGCTAAGTGTTTTCTGGAGTTTGCTTCTCAAACTTTAATGCACACCTGAGACATCCTGTTAAAATACAGATTCTAATTCAGTAATTCTACTGTAGGGATTGAGATTTTACATTTCTAACAATCTCTTTAGTGATGCCAATGTCGCTGGTCCCCCAATCACATTTTGAATAGCAAAGGGCATGGACAGCTATCATGCCCAAGCAGTGCATGCAAATAACCACATTTATGGTCCTGGAGGATGTGCTCTTTGAGACAGAAATCCTGATGAGCATCCCATCTCTGATATTAACTATCTGTGTGACCTTGGACAAGCATCTTTACATTTCTAGGTCTTTGTTTTCTCATCTGTGAAATTAGGAGTTTGGTCTGGATGATCTCTAAGATTACTTTGGACTTTAAAATCATTTGATCATCTGATGGAACACAATGCAAAATAAAAAACAACTACTTTAAACCAAACACTTAATCTGACGGCAATTTTACAAGAAAGGGGTGGTGGTGGTTATGTGCCGTGGAGTCAGAACCGACTCATAGCAACTCTGTACAGGGTTTCCAAGGCTGTAAATCTTTACAGGAGCAGAAAGCCTCATCTTTCTCCAGTGGAACAGCTAGTAGTTTCAAACTGCTGACCTTAAGGTTCACAGCCTGATTCATAATCACTACACTACTAGAGTTCCTTACAAGGAAAGGGAGGGCAGAGAAATCTATTGTGATTCTTTCATTTGTCTTTCTAATTCTAAATTCTTTGTATTCTAAGGTCATTTATCTTTCTGAATGTGCAGAACATCAGACACAACATCAAGACGTGGAACAACTTTTTACGTCTGTCCAACTCAGCTCTCAGCATCCACTGGGGACTTCATGATATCTACCAGCTTTATCAACTTGCTTATAACAATGCCTCTCTGATTACAGAGCAAAACTGCTAACTGCCTGTTGGCCACCAATATTTCCACTCATCTCTACTGACTTCCATCTGCTTCCAGGAGATATAATGGAGAAGCTCACAGACTCACCACCAATCTTAAAGATAGAGCATCCCTCCCTCTGGGCAGATAATCTGATTCTAGAGCCACAAGTACAGCACCTGACTGAAGAAAACACTGCTCTCAGAGGTCAGGTGATGCTTAACCTGGCCACCACAATGTTGCCTGTACCTTGCTCACTTGAGCATCTCAACCAGTTTCATGTTGACCCTGCCAATCTCTCAGGGTTTCTTGCTCAGGCAACGACCTACTTGGCATCTCTTAATTATCCTGCAGATAATGCCAAGGCCAAGTTTTTTATTGACTATATATTACAGCAGGTGAAAAGATCTGGAGTCCTACATGGCTCAAACCAGAGAGCTCTACTGAAGCAATATGAGAACTTTGTTTTTGAGTTCCAGCAGTTGTTTGGTGAGCCCACAAAACAGGTAATGGGCCCTCTGGAGACTGCTAAAGTTGACAAAGGAGATGACCTCTTTCAAGAGTATGCTACTGCCTTCCAACTCCTTGCTCAAAATATGGACTGTAATGAAAATATTCTTAGTGACCAGCTCCAAGAGGGACTAGCTGACCCCATCCAGAATGAAGTGAGTGGTAGAGATATAATGGAAAACCTCCCAGACCTGATCACTCAATGTATTCAGTTGGACAGGAAATGTAGTGACAGGCCCAAACTTCTACAGTCAGAGGCTCAGCTTCCAAGGCTGGCTTCCCCGATCCACCACCAACACTATTCCATTCCCATAGGTCCACCAATCAAGGAAACATCTATACAACTGCGGGGAGGCCAGCTGCCTCTCACACCAGCTAAACGAGTCCACCAGCAAGACAACCAGTTGTGCCTCTACTGCAGCCAGCCTGGCCACTTCACAAAAGCTTGCCTTGCCAAACGTTCACGAGCCCCAGCAAGGACAAATAACCCAACTCACCAGTAAGAGGAGCTCAGGAAGATTGTTTTTCAAATTTATATCCCTCTCACCTCTAGCCTTACTGAATTATATTCTGCACTAACTTTTAAAATACAGGTGGGGCACTCTAGTACTCCTTTACATAGCCACAGACTAATGTGCTTCTGGTAATTGAACAACCAGACCTTGTTCATTAGAAATGACCCCTCACACTAAACCTGAACCTACAAATGATGAAAATAATTCACAGTCATGGTCTGCAATTGGAATTGATCACTCAAGAGTACTGGAATCTTGCAGGCAAAACTCTGTCCACTCTGAACTAATGAAAACAAGTCTGGTAGTGCACTAGGAATCCCATCCCCACCAACAGTTGAATCCGGGTTGAGTTTGTTGGCCCGAGTCTTGTATCTACTGTGCCTAGGATTGGGCACAAGTCTTTCATATATGGAACCCTCATGGATCTATTTTCTAGTAGTTTGTTGGTTTCAACCTCTAGCTAAAGTCTTAACCCACATCCCATATACTGTCCATTCTTTCTTCCTAAGGACTGGATCCTGTTCCTTATAACCAGGGATTTAAACACTGGTTACAGGGAGTTACTTCAAGTTCAACTTCCTGCTGAAAATATGCATTTGCTCCAGATATACTGAATCAGAATCTATATTTAAACAAGATGCCCAGGTGATTCTTATGATGTGGTCCTGGGAATATTGTTAAAATGTAGATTCTGCTTCAGTATATCTGGGTGAGAAAGCCAAATTATCAGCAGGAGGTAAACTAGAATGAATCAGTGCTTTGACTTCAACCCAAACCAACCTTCCTAGAACCACAACCCTGCCACCTTTTCCCACAGCTATGCATTTTATTCCCATCTAATGACATTAATTTGCTCAACATGCTGAACCTCTTAGCTATCAAAAATCCAAGTTGGACATGAGCTTACTATGGCCTTTTTAACACTCAGCTTGGAACTGTTTGTCCCCTTCATAAAGAGCTTTCCCTTCAGGTAGGTACATTACGTTAGTCAAGCCCTACCAATTCCAGCTTACCATTACTCCCCTCTCCCCTAACAATCTTCCTTGAGGGTCTTGAATGTCTCATGGCCAAATAAAGATGGACTAGGATAGTGAGCTCTGACAGATATTTAGTGAGTCGTTGTTGTTAAGGGCAGTTGAGTTGGTTCCAACCGTTAATGACCCTGTATAGGGTTTCCAAGGAGCAGCTGGTGAGCCTGAACCACTGACCTTGTAGTTCAAATGGCTTTACAGTCTGGCACATTAACCCACAGCACCAAGTGGATGAAATTTCCTATCATAATTACCTTGAACAAGGAACCTGGCCATAGGTGCCTCAATGTAGTCACTTTCTAGGATCATTACCCATTTTTGTTCAGCAATACTCTTATGGAACACCTTTGGGGATCCTCGTTTAGCTGAGAATCTTGAAAAATAACAAATATCAGAAAGCTTGGCTGTCTCGTCTGGAAAATATGAGAGTACATACATTAATACTATTGTTGATAAGTGCCATAGAGTTGGTTCCAACTCAGACTCACAGTAACCCTGTATAGGGTTTCCCAGGAGCAGTTGGTGGATTTGAATCACCAACCTTGTCATTCATCTGCGATATGCAGATGATACAACCTTGCTTGCTGAAAGTGAAAAGGACTTAAAACATTTACTGATGAAGATCAAAGAGCACAACCTTATGTATGGATTTCATTTCAAGGTAAAGAAAACAAAAATCCTCACCACTGGACCAATAAACAACATTCTTATCAATGGAGAAAAGATTAAAATTATCAAAGACTTCATTCTTCTTGGATCAACTATCAACACTCATGGAAGCAGCAATCAAGAAATCAAACAACGTATTGCATTAGGCAAATCTGCTGCACAAGACCGTTTTAAAGTGTTGAAGAACAAAGATGTCAGCTTGAGGACTAATGTGTGCCTGACCCAAGCCATGGTATTTTCAATAACCTTATATGCTTCCAAAAGCTGAACAGTGAATAAGGAAGACAGTAGAATAATTGATGCTTTTGATTTATGGTGTTTGAGGAGAATATTGAAAGTGCCATGGGCTGCTAAACACCAATAGATCCTTTTTGGAAGAAGTGCAGCCAGAGTGCTCCCTAGACGCCAAGATGGCCAAACTTCGTCTCTCATACTTCAGACATATTGTCAGGGACCAGTCGCTGGAGAAAGATATCATGTTTGGTAAGGTCGAGGATCAGAGAAAAAGAGGAAGACCCCCAATGAGATGGATTGCCCAAGTGGCAGCATTGGTGGACTCAAGCATGGCAACAGTAGTGTGGTTGGTCCAGGATTGGGCAGTGTTTAATCCTGCTGTGCATAAGGTCACTATAAATCGGTACCGACTCGATGGCATCTAACTACAACAACAACAAAGAACCATGTTTAGACTTAGAAAAGAGATGTTGGCCAGCAGTCCATTTAGCAGGTCCACCTTCTGTAATGGGATGAAGGCACCAGGGTATGCCAATTCATGTCATTAAATATCAAGATCTGCTCTGAATCAGTTCTCTAAAATAATCTGATTACAATTAGTTTCCCATGCACACTTCATTTTGTGATGATAATTTACAAACCAGCAGATGTGATTGTTCTAGCCTACTTGGAAGTTAATTCTTGCTATAAAAATAAAATGGTGTTTGGCTTATACATCAGTTTCTTCTAAGTTTTAATAGAGTCAATCCTCCTGACACTTTTCATCTGTTAATACAATGAAAACTAAAAAAAAGATTCTGACTGGAAATCCAGGAAAACAGTATGAATCATATTGAATCCACTGAAGATTGGCCTTCCTGGGAACCTTGCCTCAACAGTCAGCCTCCTTTTTATCACTTTCATTTGCCTATTGCTGTTAGTTGCTGTTGAGTCAGTACCTAATCATAGCGATCTTATACACAAAAGACGAAACACTGCTGGTCCTGCACAAATATCACAATCGTCGCGACACTTGAACTCATTGCTGCTGCTACTTTATCAATCCGTCTCATTGATGGTTTTCCTATTTTTCACTGACCCTCCACTTTACCAAGCATGATGTCCTTCTCCAGGGACTGGTCCCTCCTAACGATATGTCCAAATTATGAGAGATGAAGTCTGGTCATCCTGGCTTCAAAAGAGGATTATAGCTGGACTTCTTCCAATACAGATTTATTTGTTCTTTTGGCAATCCATGGTACTTTTGATGTACTCCTCCAATACCATAACTGAAATGCATTAATTCTTCTAAGGCCCTCTTTATTCATTGTCCAACTTTCACATGCATATGAGGCTATTGAAAGTACCATGGTTTGGGTCATACACACCTTAGTTCTCAAACTGACATCTTTGCTCTTGAGTACTTTAAAGAGGTCTTGCGCAGAAGATTTGCCTAATGCACTATATAGTTTGATACCTTGACTGCTACTTCCATGAGTGCTGGCGGTTGATCTTAGCTAAATGATGTCTTTGACAACTTCGATCTTTTCTCCTTTTATTGTGATGTTATTTTTGTTTTCTTTACATTGAGGTTCAACCCATACTGAAGGCTGTGGTCTTTGATCTTCATCAGTAAGTACTTTAAGTCTTCTTCACCTGCTTGTTGAAATTGAAAGCACATTTAAAAAGTGACTAATCTGCATATCACGTGTTGTTAATGGGTATTCCTCTAATCCTGATGCTACATTTTTTTTCACATCTTCTAGCTTCTTGGATTATTTGTTCAGCATACAAATTGAATAAATATGATGAAAGAATACGGCCCTGGTGCACACCTTTCCCAATTTTAAACCATGCAGCATCCCCTTGTTCTGTTTGAATGACTGCCTCTTGGTTTATGTACACGTTCATCATGAGCACAATGAAGTGTTCCAGAATATTCATTCTCATTTACCTGTAGTTGTAATAAAATTTCTCAATGGCCATGGTTTTCATTCCCTGAACTTATTCACTAGCACGCTGGTACCTGGTATAAACAATTACTTTTTACAAACTATAACTCAATCTGGCCTAGAGATTATATTCCTTGGGAGGAGATATAACACCTATTTGGACAGAAAAGCTCCTGTAAAGCACATTTAAAAAGTGAGATGTGTATGGTTGGTCTCACTCCCACCACTTCCATTTCCAGGAATTTTATAGCACATAGGGCCCATTGTGTCCTCACTTCTATCCATGTTGGTATAGCAAATAATAACCGTTTTTGGACTCTGGAAGAACCTCTTCCCCACACAATACTCTTTTGCCTTGGACAATGTTGTTGTTTTTAGTGCTATCCAGTCAGTTCCAATTTATAGTGACCAAGCTCTGGTAGAATAGTGGTTATGAATCAGGCTGCGAACCGCAAGTTCAGCAGTTCAAAACTACCAGCTGTTCCATGGGAGAAAGATGAGACTTTCTGCTCCTGTAAAGATTTACAGCCTCGGAAACTCTGTACAGGGTCATTATGAGTCGGAACTGACTCCACGGCACATAACAACAACAACAATGCATGATATAACTAAGCACTGCCCAGTCCTGCAACATCTTCACAATTGTTGTTTTCCTCTGATAATAGTTATCTCTAAAGCAATAAAAGAGTATCTAGATTATACAGAATTTCTATAGGAATCTTGGCAAAATCTAACACTTTATGCCCTTGGGAGGGACCTGGTGTCACATCTTGATAACTCTCTATATTGGTTGCTCTGAAATTGCAGACAGCACTTGGTTAAGAGTATAAGAAAACTTTCATGTAAAGATAGTGTTATGAACCTTCAAAGTCATATTGGGGCAAGAGTCACTGCACACATTTTCATATCAGAAGTCCCAGAAATGAAGTACACCATTTATCAGTGAATAGAACTATCTTGGTTCATGTGTCTTATTACCCTGTCCATGCTATCCAGTCACTGATCACTATGTCGTGGTTGTTGTTAAGTGATGTTGAGTTGGCTCCAATTCATCGTAACCCAATGCACAACAGAATGAAAAATGGCCCAGTTCTGTGCCATCCCCACAATCATTGCTGTATTT